CTTCGTTCAATGGGCTGAGCGACAGGGAATCCATGGTAATGAGCCGAAAGGGTGAGTAGGATTTTAAGCTCTTAGAAAGTTCGCCAGAGAACAGCGGGTATTGGAGAAGGGGGCATTTATACTCTGAGGTCCGAAGGGGCGTGAAGGAGGAGTGTTCCCGCTCCTGAATTTCAGATGATATCTCCACTTACTTCAAGGCATAATTAAAGAAACATAGGCATGAAAAGCTTATGAAACTATTAAAAGGTGTGACACACATGGCTGTTTCATGAGTTTGGCCTAAGACAAATGGTGACATTGAAAGACATTCCTGTGTGAAGCGCATCACATTTCTCACAGTTGCTGGTGTTTGGATTGACTTTGCAATATTTGCAATGACCCTTTTGTCACACTTCCTGATCTCATCCTCCTGAGCAGCTGAACCTCAAGACAAAGGTTAATGATGGAGCAAATCAGACAACGTATTTGTGGAGGTCCATGGGCCACACATTGTGAAAAAGTACGACACATATATGCATCAAGGACGGACTGACATGAAAGAAATGTGCTTTTGATCTAATAATCTTAGAACTGAAAGAGAAATGGACCTGGAAACAGCTGGAAACACCTGGAAACAGCTGATGGCAACAAACAGTTTCTGAGTGGAAGTGACAAAGAAGAGAAAAAACAAACTCTGGTTATTTTATTACCCATGTCCTTTATTTATTTTTTTGGTCTTTTGGAACAAACAGTAAAGCGTGAAGGCGACAAAGCAGAGCATCAAGTCTCAGTTTCATGTGCTGTTATCAACACTGCTGCCTCCAAAAACAACACAGAAAGGAAAAAGTCACCATGAAATCATGCTCACTTTGTACTGTGTGTTTTCTAAAAGGAAAGATGTAACTTCCATATGTTCTTGAGCTTATCAGAGCACTAAAGATCACAGTAAAGGTGATGCTGTCCTGCAACTTTATGTGCCAATCAGCAGCTCAAATGGGAAACACATAAACCAGCTGTTTTGTTTTAATGTGACACAGTTGTTTAAAGATACGACCACAGATCAGCTGACTGCAGCTTTGGTTACAGCTGGTCAGTTTTCTGTCACATGGACTCCAGCACTGGTTTGTTTCACCTGCCTTAAAGAGATTAAATTACAACTTTGATAACTCAGCTGTGGTCCTCTCTTGGTTCTTTCGCTAATAACAGTTCAGCAGCTGTGTCCACTTTGAGCTGCATCCGGCTTGTTTTATAAGACAATCGGAGTTAAAGAGACTCTGCTTGCATACTTCACATGATTGTAATGGTCTGATAACAGGTGAAAAAGAAATCCACACAGCTTCACCTTTACAACATTCAGCTACAAAAAAAGAGTAAGAAACCAGATGATCCCCTTTAAATATTTTACCCTGATTACCACCTTCTTAAAGAGATGATTTTCATATTTACTTTTAAATCACTTCATGTTCACAGAATAAACCATTTTTTACTTGATTCACTGGGAATTTTCATCACTTTGTACCTCAATCATTTTAAATTACAACAACCTGAGAAAGAAAAATACCGCTTTGGTTAAGGCCTCACTGTTCATGGATGCGTTGGACCTGTGTTCATATATTTCTTTCTATGAATATAGCCAAGAAATAAATATGTCCCGTATCCTTAACTCAAGTAAAATATCTGACAGTGTTAGTGAGATCTGATTCTGTTAAGTTTCAGGAGTGTAGATTTACCCCAGATTTATTTATATGGTTAGGCTGGAAATCACATGCAGCTCACACACTTCCCTTTCACCAAGTTACTAATGAAACTGAAAAAAAAAATCATCTGAACTTTATCATGTGTCAAAGACGACAGTTTGGTCCTGCTCTAAAAAAACATCTGCTTATTCCAGCTGTGGGAGTTTGCCGCAGAACTCAGCTCAGTCTTCCCAACATCCAAAATCTGGCTCAGGACCAATCAGAAGTCAAGGATCATCGTGGAGGTCAGTAAGTTGTAAGTCAGTCCGAGTCACCATGGAAACCACCTGAGAAGATAAACCAGACCCCACTGTGACTGCTGAACAACCCTCAGTCCTCTCTGTCATGTCACTTCTTCCTCTCATCTGCTCATCATCAGAGCTGAGATGGGCCTTGTATTGTCCTAAAGCATTTTTCTGAATAAATAAGTTCACACGTTTAAAATAAATAATTCTAAAAATGTTTGTCATAAAAAAAATAAATACATGTTGTTAAAATGCGTAATTCATGCTTAGGAAGAAATCACTTGATGAAAGGAAGGCCTTCCTTAAAGAGAAAAGAAATATGCTTCAGATGCTGTTCTTCAGACA